TTTTTAGCTCTGTGTCCAGAAATGACAGCATGGCTCTTGCCGTTATACCCAACCCAGTGGATAATCACAGTCACCCGCGCTGGGGATGTTACCTGTGCATGCTGGCCCCTGAGCCATGGCTAGGGTCTGTCTGAGAGATGCCAGCAATGAAGACCAGAGCTGCAACAGGGCTATGACTAACACTGTGGTTGATTGAATGTAGCTCTGAGGAACATTTCCTGGAACAGCTTGATTATAAGCATGACCATTACCTCAACATCTGCTTAGTTGAGGATGACTGATCTTAGAAGAGGTATTTAAGAGTCCATTTGCATAATGTCTTCCTCCTCCCTGGAAGAATTAGCAAAGACCTCGAGGTAGGGACACACTGAGCTTTGTGTCACCCAGAACCTCTCCCCTGGATGCTGCTTGGAGAAATGCCCTCACACTGGTGCAATTACAGCAAAAGGTGTTTTCTCCTCTCTTAGGAAAGCTCTAGTGGACTGTGGAGAAGCTTAATGTGGAGATGGTCCCTGTCATGGGGGAGAGAAAGAGAACAGGCAGGTAGGACTAAACTTGCCCTTAAATGGATAAATGGGGCTAGATAGTAGGCCAGGCTGGATGGGGCTTTGAGCAGCCTGGTCTAGTGGAAGGTGCCCCTGCCCATGGCAGGGGGTTGGAACTGGATGGCCTTTAACTTTGACACTGGGCAATGTCTGAGCTTTGTTAGCTGTGGTGCTACCTAAATGTTGTTCACCACTGACCAGCTTCCATTGCTTTCAAGGTGCAAAACCCCCTCTAAGAACAGTGTACCCCACTTGGGTAGACCCCAAGGGTGACCTTGCAGGTTGTCTGTATCCGTCTCATGTTATGGAGGATGCTGTCCCTGGCAATGATCACACTGTCCCTGGAGAATGCTGGGACTGCAACTGCAGGAGCCAGGAGACTGGGGCAGCCTGGAAGAGCCTTGCAAACTGATCATGATGCCTCCCTTTCCCCCTTGGCTCCCCAGGCATTTTATATCCCTCAAGCCCTTCCTCCTCTAAGATAATTAAGGGCACAGGAGAAATTAAGCTAATTCTGTTGGGGCTGTTGCATCGCTCTTATCATCAGTTGTTACTCCCCACCTTTCTACACATGTGTAATTAAAGCAGGTTTGTCTGCTGTAAGATGAAATGCCTTGTTCTTCAAGACCAGTTTCAGTTATGGTAGTGCTCGGCCTGAGCTCTTGGTGCCTCTCACTTACAGCAGCTCCTCCGAACCTCAGCCAAAATGTTGGAATTCCTGTGGATACAAGAGGATGTGAATCTTCCTCCCTGGTCACCCCCCATGAAGTTCCTGTTGTACAGGGCTGTCAATCAGTGATGGGTCACACCAGGTCACTGACCGACCTTCCCTGCAATCCCTACCCAGCTGGCATTAAATAATGACCTGTGCCATTTTTAAATGCTACCATCACAGTCACTGCGGCAACCTTAAAACAGCCCCCGGTGCCAAGCTCTATAGCTGCTACAGCCACACTGAGCTCTGGGGATAGATTTAGTAGAGGCATAAAGCAAAGTGGCACCAAAGGGCACAAGGACAGCACAAGGCCTCTCCTTCCTCTGCAAGAGAGGGATGAGCCTTGTGAGACCACCAGTGTCTCTGTGCAAGGGCCCCACACCACATTAAAAGGGAAAGAAGGGTGATAGAAAGCTCTTTGCATCCTCTGCCTGCATGTAGTTTGAGAACAAGAGGCAGATCTGGCAGTGAACAGGGAAATGTGCTGGCAGCCACCAAAGAGTTGATATTGACAGGGCTCTGGGGAGCCAAAATGTTGGGTCACCAGCTCTGAACACAGGGAGGGACCTCATCTGGGTGAAGGCTTGATGCTGGTTTTAGAATTGCACTTGCAAACTTCTTAAGCAGACCCTGCCATCTGGAAGAGCATCAAGTGTTAATGTACACCCTAAAAGTGATAGTAATCCATCCAAGAGCTGTGATTACCTGCTCCACACCTTCTTGCCTTTTAGGACTCTGCTTCTTTGCTGGATTTACAAGACTCCAAACAGGCAGTGCTTTATCAGACTCAGGCTTGGATCAGTGCCACTTTTCCATTTTAACCTGCTGTCTCAGGTTCAAGGATACAATTATCGCACTGTAAAGAGTTATGAAGTGCTAACTGAGCCATGGTTACTATCTTTTTTAGTGCTAAGTGTTCCTCACAAATGTAATATATTCACCTTTTTTTTTTTTCTCATTAAGATACACTTGCCCATGTTTATGTCTTTAAGGCCCATATAAGCCTAAGGATGAAGACCAAGTTTAAGGGTCATGTGAAAGGGAATCTCTCAGCATACTGTGTAGTCAATGGTGCCTATAGAAAAAAAGTTGTAATGATGACATTGGTACCATATCCCATATCTGTGATAAAACCAGGATCACCCATGAGCCCCATAAGTCAGCAGTTTGGAGGAAAAGAAATAGTAAACCCACTTCTTCTAAGTGGGTTTTTATAACTTGAAGGTTCAGGTTCAGCAGCAGTGTGTGCCTCTCACAAAGAGACTGTGTCAGATTATGCCAGTTCTGAATTTGTTCCTGCAGATGGCTTTTGTGACCACACTCTGATAAATATGAGATGAGCAACAATTGCAGGGAATATTGTGGTTGCCTCTGCCAGCACCCTGGGGCTTTACTACAAGGTGGTTATTGATCCCAGTAGATAACAGCCTTACAAACATCCTTTAAAAACCAATAGTATCTCCCACAGTTGGTGGAGCTGTAAATTAATGATTATTTTCATAACTTTGGAGCTGGCTCTATTGTCTTTTTTTTTTTTTCCTTTTTTTTTTTTTTTAAGGAGAGAAATAATCACATTCTTATGTTTTCTTGATGGGAGTGAATTTCAGGGCTTATTTAAATGAAACACATCTTTACAGTCTTTGCTGAATCAAAGCTTACAGCTCTCCCAATACATCATGTGGGGTTTTTTTGCCTTTTTGTATCACCATTCACCTTTTAGTTACAAGATCCTCAGGGCAGAGATTGCTTGATATGAGTTTCAGCTGCCAACAGGATACAGCCTTGCGATAAGGCACAGCTCTATGTGATGTGATACGTGCTGCCGGTGTTTGATGCATTTGATCCTGAACCATGCAAAACAAGAAGAACATTGCATTCCTTTACCTTCTATTCATGTATTTCACCACAAGGGTTGTTATATGGCCACTCAGCAGTGGGCGTGAAAGACTGACATCTACTATAGCAGAGCCAAACCCTGACTGGAGATAATTATGTAGAAAGTATCTCATCCTCCCTGGGGTCACTCTTCTAACAAGCGCTTTTACTCAACATGCCAGTTTTTGGGGGGAGATAAACTCACTTGGACATGCCTCCCTAGGTGCCAAACTGTTAATATTGAATAGAGCTGGCTGCTCATTTCCTCTCCTACCTGTTGCCTTCTGTGCTTTTGACAATGAGCTTCACGCTTCTAAAACTGCAGTTAAGATGTTCCCATTGACTCATAACCTGAAAGTACCAGGGCAAAGAGATCAGCCATTAAAGCATGGTTTGGAAAGCAAAGATGCCAAATCCAGTCTGCTGTCTCCAGTATTTGTTGGTTGACTAGGAGACCAAGGAAGTAATGATAAAGCCCCTTCTTTGGCCTTGCCCCCATGATACAGTCCATAGTGGGAACTAAAGTACATATTCAGATCCCTCCAATAAAGGGGTGATATTCATCTCGATATTTTCACAGTAGTTATCTACAGCTATGCCCCAGGCTCATTTTACAGCCAATGGTGAGAAAATGGCAGTGCCCAAGAGGGATTTGTCTGACCTATTTTAAACATCAGTTTTAGGATGAAATTAATCATGTTCCAGCAGTTCCCATTGCCGTTCTCTGTTATAAGCAGTCTTGAACATCCCAGAGGCAGAAACCCACCAGCAGTACCTGCTTCGGTTGTTGTGGTCCCCTCTCTCAGATGTAGGCTGTGTTCATGTGTAGATTTCTGGCATGTGAGTTGCAACAGATGATAGGATTAGGCTGGGCAAAAGTAAGGATATTCACTGTTACTGAAAAACAAGGAGGGCAGCTAAGATCATCTGTTCCTCTGAGGATTTTTGGCTTTGTCTTTTAACTGGTTTGTTTATTAATTGAACAAGTAGAGCAGCAGAAGACATCTTCGCTTTACTATCCCAGCTGGTGAGCTGGCCAGAGCAAAGCAAAAAACAGGTCTTTCTCCTGCAGAGGACCCCCCTAAGACTGCCTAAAGCTGCATGGACCAACTGTTCTGTATTAAGATGATTTGACACAGTTTGTTCTGCTGCCCATCTTACAGGGAAGAGCAGCCTTCCTCCAGAGTCTAGGCTGAAAAACATCTGCATTTTCTAGAAGTGAGCAATAAAAATGAACATGGAAGTAGAAAAACAATCTTCTTTCTATATATATATCAGATGAAAGACGTATGATGAAACTTTTGGTGAACTCACCCAAACCTTGACATGCTCCAGTCTCCAGAGATGAAAAAGAGAATGTAGAAACTGTGGTGTGAAACTGTAGGACCCTGTTTGTTCTGCAGCCTGTGCCTGCAAAGCTTCTTGATGTATATCTGAAGTACCGATTTGGCATAGACTCCTAGGAAAGCACATTTCAGTTACTGCATTTCATTCATTTTTATGCCTTTCTAATGCAGATGCAGCTGAACTATACCATTGATTCATGTATTCGCCTCTTTTCCATATAGATGATGACTGCATCAAAGAAGCCTGCACTCTGAAATAGCGCACAGTGAAATACCACAGCAATTCTCATTTAAAGTCTATAGTGGTAGAGCAATTTCCAAAAATGAAGGGCAAAGTTCCTAATCCATAGCAGCTTTTTTGCTAGAGAGATGCGGGAGAGAAGAAACAGGATGCATCCTGCATGAATCATCACTGTAACCACCCTGGATATATTAGCTGAAATTATGACGAACACCAAAAATGATTAAAACTTCAAAATGGCTGGTGGAAGGCGTTGCCTGAAGGACTGGCTATTGTGAGACACTGCCACAGTCTTCCCGTCTGTTTTAAAGAATTGAGGGCTAAAATGGTCAATCTTTCAAGGATAAATAATTTTAAAAAATTATGTGACAGCCCATTACAGAGAGGGGTAAAGACATCCCCAAGGCCTTGGAACCTTGTCCCTCCCCAAAACAGGGTGACTACAACAACCCCTCTTCCTTTAGACTCACCCAGCTCATTGGCATTTGCATGACTGCTGACTTTTTGTCCTATGTTAGAGACCCCAAATCCACCCCTCATTACTGTTGCCACCAATCTCTATCGATTTGTCCTCACCAAGGTGTTGAACCATGTCCTTTGTATGACACAGAGAATGTTCAGGTTTGGGGCCCAAATGATCTGCGTAGCTGGTGCCCTTGACCTTCCACAAAAACAATCCCTGAGATCCCAGTAACTGGGAGTTCTGCAGACTGGGAGGGTGTGAGGGACCCACGCTTTCGCAGGGTGATTCAGTAGGAAGGACTGGGACTTGTCCTTCAGCACTTACACTTCCAGTGTCCTTGCTCTGTATTTTACAAGCTTATTACATTCAGATTCAGCTTAGTTGTGTCCTGGCTGTCGTGGACCCCAAATCAAAACACCTGCTCTACCCAAAGGCCAGTTCCGGCTCTGTGGGGCTGTCTTTGGCAGCTGGCTCCTGCAGGCTCCTGGAGAGATGCAATCTCCTAAGCTGCTGCTTTCCTTTGCTGACTGTCTGTGAATATCTGCTGCAGATCCCCTCCTCCTCCAGTTCTCTGCTCAGGCTCCTGCATTCCCTGTCCTTGGACATTTTCACCATCCATGGACTTGGGTGCTCCTCTCGCAGTGGTTCAGCCCCATGAGATCCCTTTGAAGTTATGGTGTGCAGTCATTGTGCTACCCTTCGTTTGCTGTGTCCTAGCCTGGGTTTCTGCGCATTCTCATGCTTGTCCATGAGGGAGAAATTTGGGATTCACAGTTCTCAGTGGAGAAAGCATTACCATGGTGCCCCTGGATCAGAAACCCTGGGGAATGAGAGCCAAGAGCATCTCTTCAGTGCAGGAAACTGCCCGGAACCAGACAGAAGAAAAGCTGGGCTAGGTAACACATCAAGGGCTCACTGTGAAGTTGAGGTGTAAGTATGGGCATGTATCACTCACCTCTGTGCCCACTTAACAGCTGAGTCTTTTCCCACACCACTTCTTTTGCCAGCAGTCCTCACTGATGGAGAAGTGACAGAAGCAGAGATGAAAATGTGCCTCCCAGAAGGGTCTGTTTCTTCTTGGGTAGCCATCATTATCTGGAGATAACAAGATGTTTCCTCTGCATTTTACAGAGGCTGAGAGAGGCTCAGGCAGGGAAGCTCAAAACTAAATTACCAGCCAGGTCATTTCCACTTCACACTGTCAGAGCTCAAGCAGAGGGAGGAGAAGGACTGTTTGTTGGTTTTTACTTCCCAGCTCAACAAGCAGCCTGGAAACCACGTCAGATGCTGGTTGCTCTATCAATCTAAATCTTTACACAAATTTAAATATAAGACCTCCTCTCAACAGGGTGGTTTCTGCATAAACCAGCACGGGGTTGCAAAGTCTGGGAGTGTGGGTATGAATTTATCAAGGAGAAAGAATGAGGGTGAGTTGATCCTAGAAACAAAGACTGGAAAGGACACGGAGAGACCAGGTAGTCTCTCCACCATCTATCTACATGTTTTGCTTCTGGGCTCTGCTCCGTTGCAGGCCCTCCCACATTCAGGGGTGTTCATCTGGGAAGGCTGGATACCCACTCCTCGCTATTTTTAAAGATGAATGTTAATATGTTTAATTGCCAGTACTGTGGGAAGGGAGCCAGGTCTAAAAAATATCTACTAAGAAACTGCCAAGAAACACTGCTAAACAGAATCTAGGAAAAAAGCCAGGCACAAAGATTTATGAGCTTTATCTCTGCAATAGTAACTTCACAATGGTCAACTGAGGAGCAGAACAAGGGTCATCAGTTTCGTATCAGCTAGAGCTTGTGAAATCCTTTGTTTCCTTTAGTGTAATCTTGCCAGGCAGCTCTCACACAGAAGACCCTATAGATGAATGCAAAAACCTGACAGTCCAGATGGACCCACTTGCCCCCATTCTTTGCTCAAGACCAAAGAACTGCAATTCTAAATCAGAAGCCTCCCTAGCACTGGTTGAAGCCCAACCCAGATCCTCATCCAGGGAAGAAGCCTGTTTCTCCTCCTTTATTAAATGAGTTATCCATATGAATGGTCCAGTAAACTTTTGTGTTACTAAACCCACTTTGATTAACATCAACAGTTGTGACAGGCTATCTAAGAATTTTGTTTGCACAAATACAAGGAGCCAACCTCATCTTAGGTTTCCTTCCTTCCAGCAGGATGGGGACAAGAAAGGGACCCATGAAATCTCTGAAAATAAATTAAAGGAAAAGAGTTGCTTTGTTTTTTTTTTTTATTATTATTTCCTGGTAGAAACAATTCTAGGCAAAATATACACAGTTTACTTCTTGACGCTGCTGCCAAGATTCCCAACTTTATAGCAAGGATCAGATTTCAGAATATTTCCAGACCAGCCCCCACAAAATTAACTGAGTATCCAAGAATCTTGGCTTTGGATGTCATTTGTTTTTAAGGTAAATTTCTGGTCCCTGTGACTGCAGAGAAAACCCTTGAAAACATGATCTCTAAGAGCCTTAATGACTCAGAGGGTGGTATTCAGTTGCCTACGCAAGGGAGCCTGGTGCTATCTGAGATGCCCTTGTATATCTGAGACATCCCACAGTGCTGGCAAAGCGACATAGAGCCAAGGGAAGATGAGCACTCCTCAGAAGCAAGAGGTGGAATCTGGGGCTGGATAACCTATAGCATCTAACTTGGCCCTAGGAATCTATGTTTAGACAGCTGAATCAAGCCCTAATGCATACATATAAAACATATATAATCAAATCAATCAGGCACTCAATCAATCACACAAGATATTTCCAAACCTTCAGATTTCATGTAAGTTCTGGAGTTAATTTAAGCAGTATTTCAATGCTCAAGACCATGTTAGAAACACACTGTTCGCTTCACTGACACTTCCAACCATACTGAAGCATTCATCTGGCTCAGGCTTTCTGCTCCCTACCCTTTCTGCTAAAGTCCTCTTCTCTATCCTCTGTTCCTTCTGCAGTGCTACCACAGCCATGGGAGGTGTAGTTCCTTGCCTGATCTCCAGGCTGAAAGAGAAACAGCAGAGGTTTGGGTTTTTTTCCAAAGGAAAGGCATGCAAAACACAGAAAGCAAAGACTTTCCATGGGGTGAAGGGGAAAGAGCTGTGACATGGTTTATGGAGCCCTGAGGGGTAATAGAAGAGGCTGGCACATGAACCATGAGGAGCTCTGGGGCAGCATTACCTCAGAAAGTCAGCACCTTCATGGAAAAGCAGGATATTTTTAGTTTACCCAGTGTATTTAAATCATCATGGAGTACATTAAAATTATAGTAATTATCCCACCTTCTCATGTGGGATTCTGGGAGGTGATGGATTGGTGGATTGTGTGCTGGTGGAGTCATCTTCAGCGAGGTCCTTCTGCAAAACAGAATTATTTTGTTTCGACATTTTACAGCTGCAGCCTTCCTGGCTCATTAATACTTGACAGTTGAATACTGGGATCTGTTCATATCACACCCTTCTATCCCCAGCGGCCACCTCTCGCAGCACCCCAGAGCTGAGACAACCACTGTGACACAAACTCCTTGAAACCTAAACTGCACTTACACACTCCTGGAGTTGTGACCTTACACATGCAGGTGAGGCTGATATTTTCTTCATGGCAATACCTAACCTCTGACTCATTTACACTTTCTCCTGCACGGCTTCATTGTGGGGCAATGCAGGGAAACCCTATGTCCCCCAGCCGCTGCTCTTGTCTTGCTGCCCAGTGCAGGCATGAGAAGGGGATTTATTTCACTGCCGCAGCACCACTGAAAAAGAGCTGTTAAAAAATGCGACTTTTTACACATGCACAAAAAAAAAAGCACATTCTTTTTCAGATCAGAAACTTCATGTTTCTGATTGCAAGTAAAAAATGTGATGGGGGAGGCTGAATGGAACGATCTTTTTTCCTGACATTTCTCTTATAAATTAGGTCGTCCCCAGATTCTGGGTTATCTCTGTCGTTAACCTCACTTTTGAGATGGTGCTTCTGATCTCAAGATAAGGTCTCTTCCCCTCTCTGTTTCTTATCATGAAAATACATCTGAACATCTGAAAAAATGATTTCTGCTTCTTGATGCATCAAGAAGATCCACCATGGAGAAGTCCCCAGAATCCCTGCTGATGGAGTGACATGTTTCTGTCAAGTCTTGCAGTGTCCCCCCAGCCCAGAGGGACCTTGAAGGTCCCCCCAGCTCCATGTCACCTTGGAGGTCCCAAACAACAATGGTAACAGGCTCTCTGAAGCCCTGTAGGTGTGATTCCTCCACAGGAAGACCAGGCAAGTCAAATGCTTGCACGGATTAAGGAACATGGATCCTTTGATGGAAGTAAGCTATTCCCACCCTGGCTGCCCACACTTGGAGCATCATAGCAAACTGCTGGGAGGGGATCTGGGCTACCGCCTTGTCCCAAGACAGGACTCACGTACAGACAGGCTTCAAACACGGCCCCCTCCTCTCCTCCAGCTCAGATGGAGAAGTACCCGCCACCCTCCTCTGCACATGGGAAACCTTGCCAGAATCTAGCCATTCCCCTGCCTCACACCCATGTTCTCTGGCCTCTTCCCAACTCTTCCAGAAGCATGTTCCTGATTATTTACTCTCTTTAAATGCTGCGGAAAAATGCTGCAGAAAAAATGCTGCTTTTCCTGAATTCTAAGTATGGAGGAAAAAAATAATAATAAAAAGCACATTCTCTTCCTGGACTGTGTTTGTTCTCTTTAAGTTCCCTATTACTGCTGAAAGCTATTTCGACCCTTGGAGATATTTGATCCGAGTGACCTCTGATGTTTGGGACTCTGATACAGACCCACACTGAGTTCATTCTTGCATAGATCTCATATATCCATCCATCTATCCATACATAAAACTATCTTCCTCTTTCTCTCTCTCATTCCAGTGCTATCTGATCAGTTCTTGGAATTTCTTATGCTTCTTTCATTGAATTAATATCTTTCCCCCAAGGATGTTTTCTTACTCTCACAGATTTTCTTTTCACACCCTGTCATTTGCCTCTCCAATTTGCCTTCTCCAGACCCTCTCCCCTTCTCTCCGTGCTGCCAGTTTACAGTTGCGTTATGTATTCATATATATATATATATATATATTTAAATGGGATGATTTCCACTAACGTAAACAGTCTGGCCCATTAATTTCAATAGCGGAGCTGACAGATCAGGCCTGGAGTCTCATTGCCTGGTGACACACGAGTACAGCTGCTTGAACTTGATGGGTAACTGTTTCCAGCGCCTAGCTGCACATCTGCAGGAGGAAGGAAATACTTTCCATAATGCTGGAAAAAATAAAGCTGCCTAGATTTCCCTCCCCCCCACCCCCAGATGATGATATTCATCATTCAAATGCTTCAGCTGAGTGGGTGTTTAATTCAGAGTTTGCAGGGGGACATTTATGGTGTGTTACTAGCTTTGCTGCTGATCCTTTGTTCCAACTGCTGTGGTGTTGCCTTTACCAAGGCTTTCTCCTTAACCACCCCGAGCACTGCCATACATCCATCACCACTGGGTACTGTGATATCTTCAGGACCACTTGCTGAATTAAAACTGAGAGTGATGTGTCTCCTCGGTGACACTGCCATATTGATGTTATAGCACAGTAGAATGAGCAGCAGGAATGAGCAGGATTTCTTCGAGATGGATCTAGCACGACATTGGACAGCCCATGCTGAGAATGAGCCAGGTCCTGACCTGAGACACCAGCTTTGCTGATGGCACCCAGAAGACAAAGTTAGCAAAGCCTGAGGAGCTGACTTAAACTTTTCAGGGGTGTGCTTCAGTTGCTCCAGGAAAATGTGTGGTTAACACCATAAACTCCTCCAGGTTTGCTTCCTCGAAGTAACTTGTTCTCACCCACCTCATCATTAGCTACCCAGAAAGACTGAGATACCTGTGGGAAACGCTGTGTGCTGCAGTCTGTTGGCAAGCTATGCTCCCATGTGTCACCCTGCGTATGATCTTCGCTTGGCAGCTGGACAGAAGGAGGAAATGAGCCCTGAATGCCACTTGTGGGACACAGCCATGGGGGATAAATCTGAGTGAGTGTAGAAGGAAAGGAAGTGTCATGGAAGCAGGGCTGTTATTTTCAGTGGGACAGCAAGAGAAACCAAGCCCACTGGACTACATGCTACCGTCCCCCTGAGTATACACCACAATATTCAATCTCTAATGTTGTTTTTTTCTGAGCAAATATCAAGTGCTGGGGATATTGACCTGTTGCTCCTTACAGAATTCCTGCCACAGCATGCACCAGTTTTGCCTGGAAACGGAGAATGAATACAGGCCTAAACATGTCAAGAAGTGTCAAAAAGTGTATTAACTCCTAGCAACTTAAGGTGAGATACTGAGCGCTTTTGGCTGATTTTGGAGGAAAATCAGCTACATAGAGGAAAAGGAAATAGCCCCAAGTGAAGTCTAAGCCATGAGGCTGGACTTTGATGCTAATGGCTAGACCACTGGTAAGGAAATCTATAGAGAAAAGCCACCCAGTCTGCTGGACTGCCAATATCTCCCTAGCAAAGGTCTTTGGAAAGCACAGTTTTTACACTCTCAAAGGTGCTAAATGAGAACAGGCTCAATCACAGACCTTATTTCCGAACACAGGCTGAAGTAGTGTGGGGATATGAGCAACTGTTGAAGTTGGCCGTGCTTTGAGCCGGGGGGTGGATTGGATTATCTCCAGAGGTCCCTTCCAACTGGCTTTTTTCTGTGATTCTGTAGTTCTGTGATATTGTTTGCTGTATCTAGGTGGAAGTTGAATTCTGAAGCTGCTGAATTGCAGTAGGCTGCAAAGTTTTGACCTTTAGGTCAGAGAGCTTGCGAGATATCTCATCAATTCATTATCACGCCAGGCTCTAGTCCCCTCTCCTCAAAGGGCCTGTTGAAGGTGGGAATCCATACAAATCAAGTTTGGCAGTGCCATGTACCATAGACACTTGGGGCTTTTTTCCTAAAAAGAGACAAATATGATCTGGATTAAAAAAATAAGACCTTCTTTCTGAAGTCTGTTGAAAAGGCAGCAGCTAGCAACATCATTCTGTAACTGATTAACTAAACTCAAAGAACCATTCAACTGATCCAGAGTACATATTTGCATTCAATAATATGGTCATTTATTGTACCTTGTGACCTACTGAATCATAAGGCTTTTCCCTTCTCTGTATTTCACTGAATTTCCTTTCAACAAATTAGGTGTCTCCAGGCCCGTTTTGCACAAACGTCAATGCTGAGCCAAGTGCTGAATTGACAGCTTTAAAGGTGTATGTCCAAGCACCCTTCCTTCTTGTTCTGTTTCAGAGTAGGATTTTAGATGTTTTTTTTTGTATGTTATCGTGTGTCATGATTGGTTTATGGGTGACCTGATGGAACACCAACCTGTAGTGGCATTAAACTGAACCCACATTGGGAGCTCTGCTGACTAGATGGAGATTACAGCAGGTAGCTGACTGAATCCTAGGTCTAGCCCCAGGAGGAGGAGGCCAAGTAATGTTACAAAAGCCTGCTCAGACATGTCTATTCCAACAGCCTTTGCAATCATCTTTAAAGATCTTGCTTTTTCTGAGTGACTTCTTGCACAAATGTAGCACCGTCTGGATGTGCTGACATAGAATGCCCTTATATTTGCAGTCCCCAGGAGTCCACTTCCGTGATTTTGGAGCTAACTGATAGCAAACAGGAGCCTGTCTTCTCCTCTGAGCTTCTTCTTCTCCACCCACAAGTGCTGCCAGTCTATCTCCCTGCTGCAGTGCTTCTCCCAGAAGACAGGATGATGCTTATCTGATTGTCTAAAATAGTTCAGACAAGATCAGATGACTCATGCTGCAGAAATGACCCATCCTCTCCATAAAGGGACCATTCCATAATCAGTCCTTTAGGAGACAACCATGATGTGGATACCTAAAAGCTAGTGAGATGAACCTTAGTCCAAGAAATACAGACAGACTACTTCTAGCACCTAGGAGATGAGAATGGCCACGTTCTTTCCCACCCTGACTTTCAACTAATTTGAACTCTGCTTTTTGCAGAGTAATAAAATAAATGTATAGCTGCTCCCTTGCCTGTCTCTGATTTTCAACAGGGCTCTGAAAGACACAGCAGAAAAGGATTTGGGCTGCCTTAAAGCATGGATCACATGGTAAATTATTTATTTGCCCATTTATATCCTGTAATAAAAAAATACACAAACAAAACCTTCCTCCTTCCCCTCTTAAAACTCTTAATTTATGTGTGTAGTTTATACAATCCCCAGCTCGGTTTGTTTAGACCATACAGGGTGCCTGAACAATTCAAAAGTGCTTGGAGAACCTCAGTGCACAGACAAGTACTGATGCCCTGTTGCAGCAGAGAGGGAACTGAGACA